AGAACATACTGCGAGGATTATACAGACAGTGACTACGAGTTGCTGCATTGCTCTGCACGGGCTCAGCAGATTTTTTCGAAACCTAATATAATAATAAATCGACTTTAATAGGGGTCGAAGTTTAGCGTAATGGCACTTAACCCCAAATAAATTAAAACAGAATACAAATACATAAATCTTTTGATAAGTTACAAGTAAGTTAAAAATGTAGGTGTATAAAAATATGATGGGTATACACTGAGAACCAAATTTATCTGACGGCTTGAGTTCAATGTGTACGAGAGAGAAGTGTGTATAGACACATATGTTAGAAAGAGATAGAAGCCATAGGGATAGCGAAGCTTATCACCGCGTTGCCAATATGATACACCACTTCCTTGAATTGAGATGCATGTTGAAAATATGTGTTAGGTCTAGGTCGGAATGAAACGTCAGGATCGCTTAAAATTTTGAAAATTTGCATGATGGTTCGATTGATAACACCGCATCTCATTTCTACCTCCATGATCATAGATGAGCGATTTCGGTCAGTACCCATCTAGCGCTCATTGGGGGGAGTGTCGTCGCGAATGGTTTTCTTCTGCGTAGACAAGCCGATCTCTGCCGGTGAACTGGAAAAAAGATGTCTAGCGGCGAATTCCTCTCTGACGAGAGACCTGGAGGTTATCACTGCTTGGGACGCACGACGCAACAATCTTGTACAGTTTAATGCGTCCAGAACCCAGTACTGTACAAAAAGCGTCCCAGAGCTTATCCGATTTCGATGGTGACCGAGTTCTGCCAAAGAGCCGTTCATTTCGGCTGGTCGGCGCCCTGATCAAAGAGGACTTGTTGTGGCACGAACACATCTCGTCAATAGCGGCATCTGCTGGGAAAAAAAGCTAGGCTATTTGTTTAGGTCTAAAAAGTACTTTTCTCTGCATAACCTCTTCACTCTATACAAGGCCCAGATAAGAGTATTCCTCACACGTTTGGGGTGCTGCCGCCCCGACTGCATTATTTGTGCACGATGCTATCCGGAGGAGGGCTATCCGAGTGATCGATTACTCTTCTCTCGGGACCCTTTCGCACCGGCGGGCTGTCGGCGATCTAGCTCTCTTCTACCACTTTGCTTTGCTCCTAAGAGCTCTCGTCCATGATGCCGCCGCGCTATCTGCCCGCCAGACTGACCCACCTGATTTTAGCCTCCCATCCTAACTGTCGAACTTACATCCAGAAATAGCCGCTACGACTGCTCCTTTGTCCCGAGGGTGTAGAGATTGTGGAACAATCTACAAGAGGAGGCTTTTCCCAGTTCTACTAAACTCAGGCAGTTCAAAAATTGGTTTAACAAAGTTTTTTTGAAATCCTCATAGCAGCCGCGGTGTCCTGGCATTTAGGTTTTTGCTTGCGCGGCTGCATTGTGTATTTAAATAGACGGTGAAATGGTAGGAAGTATGTACCTTTTCATATCTGGAAATGAAAAATTTGCCAACTTCAGTTTTGACGGAGGCTTTATTTGAACACGTAAACATTTTAATATCACGGGACATCGAACCAGTTTTCTTGAAATTTCTCACGACAATAAAGTCACCTAGGAGTTAAAACGGACGGACAGTTGAAAAACCTGGGGTCGGATTAGATTTGTTTTTTTTTTCAAAAACAACAGCCGAATATTGAAATTTTTGACTATGTACAAAAAATCCAAAGAATGATGCTAATTAATTACCAAAATTGTATTTAATTTGTTCAAAGTCTTATTTTTGGGAGTTTGCGTGATACAAAATTCAACAAGGTTATTCGTTTCATCGACATTTTACAAAATAATGCTGAAAATTGAACTAAGGGTGTGTTGGGAACTCAAAATTCCAGGGTCGGATTCAGTTTGTTCTATTTCTTTATATTTCATCAAGAGCAACGTCCTGTAAGTTATACTCTGAATTTATTACTATTTCGCAGAAAAAAAGAGCAATACATGATATGAATAAAATGGAAAATTGATGTGCCCTATTTACTGATTTCGATAACCTTTTAATGATTTAATTCTGACGACTGATATTGTACCACTACGTTCTGCCTGAAAGGGAAACGGCATCTTATATGTAATTTCACTGAATTTGACCTTCCAGACCAAATTGAAATTAAGTTAAAAACCCTCATAAACGGTCCGGACTCAACATCTAATTGTATGATACACCTGTAGTGTACGAGGAAGTTTTTTCAATAATTGTTTACATTTTTGATCTAGTGTACTGATCAGTTATCAGTTTCGTACATTGTTGCTCTTCATAGACGATGAATCATTCGTTGTACTAGCATCTCGGTTCGATTATGATTTGTGCTCTTAAACGCCCGATAACTTCACGCATATCCGCTTTATTATGAAACTAAAGTGCTGTTTTGCATACATAGTATACTGACGCCCCGTTATGTCACGAAGTAATTCTAACTAGTACGCACAGCTGCTGCTTGTTGGTAGTCGAGTCTTGAACCGTCCATTCCATAGAAATTCGTGAAATGTAATATTAAATCTTTTTCCAGCGGTGCTCTCGCGTTCCACCGTTGTCTCTTTGTTGTCTTATGTTTGTATTCTTCACAGTCGGAATATTCAACAGGCAGTATCTTTGATATGGGGCTCAACTATTTCTTATAGTAGAAGAGCTCACTGAAAGTGCTTGATCATCAGATTTTGTTATTGAAAAAATCAGAAACAAGGGTTCCCATGAAATGGTTAAATAGTCGCAATTAATCATAAAGAAAATAGTTTTTTTATTCGATTATTCGGTGAAGTGTCGGAGGCACATACCTGAAATTTAGACATCATACATACACAACTACTCAATGGTAGCTAGACGTAGTACAAATTTTACGACAGATTGCAGTCTGATACCCGTTTCACATTGACAATAACCCCACGGATTTCTTCATGAATTGAGTTCGTGGCCAAATTCCAAAAATGAAGAACAGAGATTAGACGTCAAATAAATTTTGAAATTCTCCGTGGATTTTTCTTCACGAAATTAGAACTTTTTAATTTCTGCAAATTTGGACGTCAAATGCCATGGTGCCAACCTTGTTTTCCTTACCATTATATTGAACTTTTCAAGTATAGAACTTTGATAGAACTACGGTATTCAACAATATGATTTCTGTGTATGAGATTCGCCTCAAATTCAAAACCACAGTAAACATAAAGCTCAAAATGTTTCTAACAAGAATTTGTTGTGTGGCTGGCAGCACTGAGTACTGAAAGATAATCATCCATAAATTTGGAAATTGATGTTAACACCGCAAAACATAATCACAATAACCTTGAAGAAATACATCTGAATAAATTCGTGAAGAAATTGTTAATCTCAAATTCAACTTGTTTAAATCTTATGTACTTCTCTGTAATTGCTAGCATTTTTATTTATTTTATATTTATACGTATTATTCCGGCATATCTGCTCAAACGTATACATGGCTTCAAGTTTCATATTGACAAGTCTTATATCATGTATCTAAAAGGACAATAAACCATCTATCTATGAGAAGGAGCGCGGCAACCGTAGTGCAACGCCCTTTTCTGTTGTTTGATGTAAACTGAATTTAAACCATGGGCTTTTCGAGGTGTTAACAGTGTCATGGGAATCATCTATGCTTAATCAACGACAAATGGAAAAATCATAAGTCGCCTCTTGGACTACTAAAAGCACTTGTTAACAATGGTAATGGCGTAATATACAGTTTCGTGTCATGGATCTATTTTCTATACCAGTCGGAAAAATGTCAAGGACGTCATATTAGCATAATGCGGAATATAATTGACTACTGATGCCTACCTGATTAGCGTAGATATCTTAATAGTGCTGTAGTAAGTGGAATCGGACAGATTCTACAAGTGTGAGGTAAAAAATTAAGTTGTCCTTACAACTATGACAGTTCATACATGTGCTTTGTAATATCTACTTTTACGTTGCTTGAATTTGCATTTAGTCTTTTTTGTTTGGAATAACGCTATTCGCAACGTCAATATGGGCACCGCATAAGCACGAAATGTCGGCCATACATCTACTGTGATTTAAAAAGGAAAGGTCAAATGCCAGTTTGATATTTACTTCAAATAACAAGTGCAATGTTTCCAATCTTGTTGCAACATATTGGAATGTAACGTAGCTCAGATATTACAAAAAAAATCTTGATAATTGTTACGTGTTTGTTTTACTGATCAGAACCGGATGTGGCAGCAGAGCCTTGCCCAGGGCTCAAAATTTGGCATTGCGGACGTACTTACTGGGAAGGGCTCAGATACTTTTCCTCCATCTGCCTGTTGAAAAAAAAAGTCTTCGTATAAATAATAACGGTAGTCCAATAAAAATAAGATACCCAAAAAAGTTTACACTTGTGCTTGAGTTTTAACCGAACCTGAACTATCTGAATACTATAAATTTTCTATAAGTCTGCTAGTCAAATGTATAAATTTGTAGCAATTTATTATCACATAACATATTGCGGTTTAATGTCTACACACTTATGGATTTGTAGTCTTGATTGATTTATGATGCATAACTTTAATTCAATTTTTAGACATTTTTTACATTCTATAAGTTTGCAGGAATAACATTATACAATTTTGAGAATAGAACGTAGAATGATCTTTGGCTGATTTATTTAATTTTATTTAGTCTGGGGATAAGTGCAGATGTTTCCTTGAACCGCGTTTGGTGGTTGTGGCGATAGTAAAAATTCTAGATTTTTTGTTGAATATATTATTGTGCGAGTCGAAAAGCTGAGATTCACTGAGAAGATTTTCTCTGGGATAAAACCACTTACTCCAAGCACCATCTGCTATTAGCATCATTAGCGGGACTCCTTTCTCGTCAACGTTACCATTCGCTCTTGCTAAATCAGCTTCTTCCCTCCAAGTTGCTTCAATCACAGTCCAAAGCGCCTGGTCTATTTGTTCGGATACCTTTTCATGATGGTTTAAATACGTAGTTGCACCCATAAATGGAACATTCAAAACTGAAAATAATTCTTCAGCAGTAGATATCGCTGCCTATGGCAACGCGTCGTTGGTATTTGTGACATCGATACAATCTTCCACCAAACCAATAGTTTTCTCCATGTTGCACAATCGACAACCAAATGTGATCCTGGACTTCAAAGCTCATTGGTGGGTTGCATATCCGCAAACGAGCAATCAAAAGGCGGGTGTGGGAAATATCTGCGATTTGTTTGAAAAGAAATCCTATATCAACCACTCGCCTTCCATGTAGTGAGAAAACCTCGATGGAATCACCCTTACTGACGCTTTCCTGTAAGCTATAAAATACATATTTATTATTATAATAGCTTTGTAATGAGTCGCACCTTGTGTAATTTGTTTCTTCAGCTACGAAATCGGTTGCTTTCTCTGATGAGCCTTGCTGTTCCAAGATTGGTTCCACAATTTCGTCAGATATTATCATAGCTTGCTTGGTCCTCTAGTAATAGTAATTAATAATAGTAGCACAAATTATAAGAATGATGACAACAATGACAACTCTGACTCTCTTGAGTTAAAACTTAGATTTGGCAGTGTGACTTTGCTAATATGTGGAAATATACAGTACATGAACCAACAATTTTTTGAGCAACTGGAGAGGCTATTTAATGATCTTACCGAAATCCCAATATTGCAACACCTACGGTTACCAAGTTATATTTTTTGTTTTTATGCTGAATTGCTTGAAAACGGGCATACATATCGTTGTAACTTGTTTCTTTTGTCCAAATAGTAACGCAAAATAAATGTGGACACCTAGATCTAGATATAGTTAATAATTGGTATTAGGGTATGAATGGCCAAGAATTTTACGATTTTTAATAATTCGATTAGGAAGATAAAAAGAAAACGATTTTAAACCCTTACTAGTATTTAAACACCTTCACCACTAATGCCCTAAATATTATCATCGACTTGAAAGATAGGTAATCCAGGTATCGGAAGTCATCAACTTGCTTTCCGAAGCCTACCTGTTTTTATTGCTTTGCTATTATATTGCTCCTTATATTAATCTCATCAGGGGGAGAACCTAACCCTTTTATTTTAATAATGTTTCTGATGTGTAAGTATATTGTTGAAAAGATGATAAACTACAAAACTTTTATAAGTATAGATAGGCTCAAAAAAGGGACGAGTTTTTTTAATCGAATTTTGAATTTTTTATTCAACCCCCAATTTTACGAATACGGGCGGTTATGTCTTTTTGTGGGGCAATTTGAATGCACTTCTTATTTGCTTTGATTAACCATGTATTCTATATATATATCTATTTTATTTATTTCCACATATGAACATGAAAAAGATCTTATCTCATTAACAGAATTTAGGAAAAAATCAATAAACAGCCTCCAAAACTACCCAAAACAATTCCCTGAATCGAACGTTTCATTTCTACATTGGAATTAAGAGCATTTCCCGCCATCCTGACTAGTATCGAATTCGCAAATTCTAACATGAACAAAAATGTTAAAAGGACAGTGTACCCAGTATCGAATTTGGCATCCGTATCAACTTGATCCGATATATTTCTATAACAAATTTTCTAAATTCAATTCACCAACGACAATTGTAGCAAGTAAGTTAAACTTAAAAAGTATCTAACTTATTTGATTTTAAAATAATTAATCATTTTTTGCATAGTAGATCACTCCATCCCGCATCTAATAATGTGATCATCATGTCGACAGCGCGATAAGATATAAAATGAAGATGATAAAGTCTTACTTTCTACAATCTACATCAACCTTTAAACAAGTGTAATTTACTACCGACCAAATATAAGTTGGGGAGTTCAGGTTCTTAATAATGATACCGAAGCTTACAGATAACTAATTGAAAGGTAGCTGCATATCAACCAAGCCAGTTGAAAATAATATAATTACAATATATTTACCTTTGATGTCCTTTCTTGTGCCTTCTACTCTTTTTTTTTACTAGGATATACCCGGTTCACTTGCATAGTTATTCTTCCCATTATGCGTTGTAACACACTTTAATGTCACTAAAGGCAGTCACTGTCGCAAGTTCAGTTTCAATTAGGTCGATCCTTCCGATCATCCCTTTTATACCCCCACAGGTACGCTGCTGGCTCAAACGCTTCTTAATGAGGCCACACCCCCGTTGTACCGAGCTTAGGCTGGTAGGCGTTAGGGGGCGCTATTTCACGGGATAAAAAAATGCATTTCGTAGTTCCTGAGTTTCTCAGTTGTTTTTGAACGTAGTAGCTTCAAATTTGGAAGTTGGTTTTAAGAAATAGTTTTCTTGTTCGGAAACTACTAGGTTCCACAAAAAAAGTTAGGGTTTATGAGATATAATTTATTTTTGACAGAAAAACAAGCTTTATATCATTTGGATTCTGTGTATACATATTTAATCTAAATGAACCTATTGTGTAGTGAACAAATTCGTCTGAATGCTTTTTGGACTAAACTATTAACGTGTTGTCTCAAACGAAGTTGCTTGTCAATTTGAACAAATAAATCTTTGGATATGTTACAGAAATTCAGTTCAACACTATTAATAACTAATACTGAAATCCTCTTTAATCTTACTTTTGAGATTTTCTGAGCACGGGAGAAGTGGTCAACTCAGGGTCGAATCATCAGTTGTTCCTATAACTGTAGGACGCCTTTATGGCCTCTTGGATTTTGATAGTTTTCTACTGTTCCGTGTCAGCGGTCTATTTTGAGGTTATGTGACAAAAATCTATTTGCATCAAATTGTTAATGCTTTTGATTTGTACCATCTGTTTTATGAGCCTGAAATTTCCCACGATTCAAAAAGAAAACATAACTTCACAATAGGAGAGCGCTGACGCCGACACGGAACAGTAAAGTCTAGAAATACTCCAGCCTTTTTAAAGTAGAGAAGTCTGTGAAAATCAAGGAGGCAATAAAGGCGTGCTACAATTTTAAGAACGACTGAAGATAGAGCCCTTAGTATGCGAGGTACTGTATCTGGGAACCTATCCATCGTAGAGCCTTGCGGCAAAGAAAGTTCTTACTAACACGGCCAAGAGAAAAACCTGGAAAAGATTTTCAAATTTCTGAAATGGCTGCTAGGGGCGTAACTGCAATCTTGAATCTAAAAAGTGATGTTTCCGTGGATTCCTAGAAAAAAATACCTGATCTTCAAGGTCGAGGATAATGTGAAGTTTTTTTGTCACACAATTTTTGCTGAACCTCTAAAAATAAAGTGGTGGGGGGTATTAAAAAGTTTCCGTAAAAACACCCTGAATCTTCGAAACAGCTGAGCCGATTTTAACAAACTTGGACTAAGTGAAAAGAGATATCCTTGGGCTTCAAATGTTATGATATTTGAAGGTTTTCTAGTTTTACAAATGCCCGCTAGAGGGCTTTTTTCGACATTCCTGCAAATGGTTAATTTTCTCAAAAAATTAAATGCATTGGTATGATTTTTTTTATGAAAAAGCAGCTAACCGCATCTCGATATCTTGTTCCTAAAGTAAAATTTAGACAAAAGAAAATTTTATACGAAAATCCCTCATATTTTTATTTTTTTTTAAACTAATTTTTCCGCTCTTCTTTTTTATTCATCAGAATAACATCACCCTTTTTGAAAATATTACAAAATATCCCTAAAAGGTAAGTAAGTAATGCTAATAACAAAAGGCATTTTTTGTTTAAATGCATATCCACTATGGGTATATACAAAAAATACAATTAATAGAAACAGGCCATGGAATACAACAAAACAAATACCTAATTAAAACATAAATAATCCTCAAATTGTCAATAGTTTTGCGTTACTTTGAGTAATTTTTGTGCTTCCTAAATGCGTTTTACGAACGATGAAGCTGTATATGCTTGCAGTTTATTTTGAATGTCTTCAGAGTGCCGCAGTAGCAAAAAGAGTTTACGTGACTCTATATCCAAATTGGCATCTTTGCGATGTGAGATTTTCTCCCCGATTAATGGCGAGCTTACGAGCCAGTTGTAGTTTTCGGCCTACGTTTTAACGGCAAACCATTGGAAGAACACAAAATATTACTGGGATATATTGAAGGAAATCATCATGTTAGCACAAGGGCATTATCCCATGAGTTGGGCATATCACGGACAACGGTTCAAAATATTTTGAAGGACCATAGGTAAGTTCTACTGGCCATCAAAATCTAGGGATTTATGTAAATTTAACTTTTTTAATTACTTTTAGAATGCACCCATATTGTCGTTTTGCATCAGGACTTGAAAGAGGAAGACTTTGATCGGAGGTTGGTATTGCCATTGGATGTTAGGCATGATACGCGAAAATAGGGAATTATTATTTCGAATTCTTTGGACCGATGAAGCTTCCTTTATTAGTGACGGGAGAGACAATCTGCACAATATGCATTCAGCACCAAGGGCGTTGGAGTTTAAATGTGTGTTGTGGCATACTGAGAGGCAGAATTATTGGGCCATACTTTTTCGAGCAATCCCTAAATGGCAATTGACTTTTTGGACAATCAATTATCGATGTTGTTGGAAGATGTGGCACGAAACACGGCAAAACTTGGTTTTGCAGTTGAATGGTTGCCCAGCAGAGTCTGCTATTATTGTGCGAGAGCATATTAATGCAGTATTTCAACAGCGGTGGATTGGAAGAAGAAGTCTATTTCCAAGGCCTTCGCGATCACCAGACTTAACTTGTCTTGATTTTTATTGATGGGGACGGTTAAAGGACATCGTATTTCAGACTCAACCTACAACCAGAAGGGATATGAAAAACCGCATTCGTAATGCAATACGTAACATACCCAGAGCCGAAAGTGAAGCTGCAGTTTTGTCTACCCATGAGGGGCTTCAGGAATGCATAGAGTGTGATGGTCAGCATTTCAAGCATTTACTGGGCCATTAAAAACCTTTTTGAATTGGTCCTTTTTAGGGCCACAACTCAATAATAAAATATATTCCAGAAAAATAAATTAATAATAAATATAAATTCCAGAAAAATTAGTATGAAAAAATAAAAATTTTCGAATAAAATTTTCTTTAGCCTAAATGTTAGGTTAGGAACAAGATATCGAGATGCGGTTTTTGCGAGCTTGCTTAGACAATATTTAGCTACTTTTTCATAAAAAAAATCATACCAATGCATTTAATTTGAGAAAATTAACCATTTCTGCCGGAATGCCGAAAAAAGCCATCTAGCGGCCACATGTGAAACTAAAACTTCAAATATTATAACGTTTGAGAATAGCTGTTTTCAACTAGCCCAAGTTTGTTGAAATCTGCTCAGCTGTTTCGAAGATACAGGGTGTTTTTTACGGAAACTTTTGAATACCCCCCACCACTATTTTTAGAGATACAGCAAAAATTGTCAAACAAAAAAGGTTCGGACTACCATCGAATTTAAAGATCAGGTATTTTTTAGTTAGGTTAATATAGCGGAATTCACACATTTTTAGATTCAAGATTGCAGTTACACACCCTAGCGGCCACTAGATATTTCTCTTGGTCGTTTCAGTAACAACTGTTTTTGCCGCAAACCTGTACGATGGATGGGTGCCCAGATACAGTACATCGCATTCTTAGTTGGCCACCCTATATATACAATATAGATATGAATGTAAGCTTAAACAATTGTGTATTAATATTTCCAGTAACAAAGCCATCGCTGACTACCTGAGTAGCAATGGATATAACGATGCATTGGAGGCTTTCAAAAAGGAGGCTGACATGCCTGGAGAGGTGGAGAGGAAGTTCGGCGGACTACTTGAGAAAAAGTGGACATCTGTTATTAGGTTGCAGAAAAAGGTTATGGAACTCGAGTCAAAGCTAAACGAAGCCGAGAAGGAGTACATAGAAGGTGCACCCACTAGAGGCAAACGATGTCCTACCGAATGGATACCCAGACCGCCAGAAAAATTCTGTTTGACTGGTAAGAAAATATACATGGTTACAGTTAACCGACAGTTTTGACTATACCAGGTGTTTGAATTTCGACCTTCACCATTGGAATCTCGGAAACGATAAGAGATACGCAGTCAGTTAAACGGGGGCAAAATTGCATATTTAGCTAACTAAAAAGATGGCAAAATGTTTCGCAATTCCGAGTATTTCCGGAGACGATGTGCCATTTTAGTTACCTAAATGTGAAGGGGTGCCATTTGTTAATAACCAGCCATATTTATTGATATATTTACTCTTAGGCCGTATCGTCAGTCTTTCCTACAATTGTAGGACGCCTTTATGGCCTCCTTAATTTTCATAGTATTTTCTCTCAGATAGGCTGGGGTATTTCTAGATTTCTACTGTTCCGTGTCAGCGCTCTCCTATTGTGAAGTTATGTTTCCTTTTGAATTGTAGGAAATTTCAGGCTGATAAAACAGATGATATAAATCAAAAGCATGGAAATATTTGATGCAAATAGATATTTGTGACATAACTTCAAAATAGAGCGCTGACACGGAACAGTAGAAAACTATGAAAATCAAGGAACGTAAGAACGACTGACGATACGGCCCTTAACCTCGTGCAGGTCGAAATATAGAAGTTTTGGTATATTTATTGAGCTTTTTCTACTTCAGATAGATTTTTTTTCAAGGGAGACTATTTTTTTATATTTGAACCACCACGGGGTGGTACCTGATCGTTCGACCTTTTACGAACAATCACAACATCCATAGCCTAAAGATAAATTCCCCTGGGACGGTATTCGAACCCGCGCAGCGCACGGCGACTGATTAGTTGACCCATAACGTCTACCACTACGCCACCGCTGCTGCCTATATGCTTTTCTGTAGATTATATTGAAAGTATCTACTCCCAACAACGAAGAATTGTCAACGTAGATCTGTTGACAATTATTCGTACTAGTCCAGGACAACAGAGCAGCGCGATCGAGCTTATTAGTTGTTGCTGTAGCATAAAATATATTCAAATGATACGTACCCGTAGCGGGAGCCGGTGAAGTCCATTGTCTCGACTGCTCCTTGGTCTCACAATTATACGTACTTTTGTCTAGTTTAACAGCATAATTTGATAATGAAATTTACCGTCAAATCGCTTTGAGAAGCAATAACTATTCTGAGTTTGTATTTTGAGTTTAGATTTATCATAAATTGGCATGTTCATTACTCCAAATGCTGATAACTTTCATTAACTTACAGTCTGTTATGTAAAAGTGTTTAAGAATGCCTGATCATAGGACTAAACTAGAAAAGATGTCAATACGTGCATAAGCTTTTTGAAAATTGAAATTAGAATATTCTGAAATAAATTGCTCTTTGTGTGTCTATTCCGTTAGTCCGATCTACGAGGTGAGCTTTATTCCTCACGCCACAATTATAATCGGATCTCGTCATCCAACATACTCAGTTTTATATGAAATCTTTTCAAATTCTATCGCAGGTCACAGAGCACCAGTAACGAGAGTGATTTTCCATCCAGTCTTCAGTATCATGGTGTCTGCTAGTGAAGATGCCACTATTAAAGTATGGGACTTTGAAACTGGAGAATACGAACGTACTTTGAAAGGACATACCGATTCTATACAAGATATAAGTAAGTTCTTATATTAATATAATTCTGGACATTGTCTGAATGCACCCTGTTAACTTCCCACGCCTTCTGAACGTTTTTCCGCTGTCACTGGACCGATTTTCAAAAACTACAAAGCTTTTTTGCGCTTGGCATAGTATTGTCCTTGTGCGAAAATTTTATCAAAATCCGACCAATACTTCCAAAGTTATAGCGGGATTAAGGACTAGCGGACAGACAGGCAGACGGAAATGAGTGACTTGGTTTTTCGTGATGTACATGCCATATAACATCAAAACATCATGTCACATTTTCGAAAAATTTCGCGATTACCATACTTTCCCTTCAGTAGGCGTGGGAAGTAAAAAATCAAACTGGGTTGTTTCCAGACATTGATTTCGTTATATCTTTTAACCGGATTACGTGAAAATGACCTTGTAGCAGTTGTTGTTTTATGGGGAATCTGGGAAAGGTGATTAAGATACCTAATATTAACGAAATGTTGTGTCTAAAGGTGATTGTTTCTCGGAGATGAGAGAGAGAGAAGAAATTATAAGATAGATTAGATCTGTATTTACAAAAGTGAAGGATAGTATTGATTGGAGTTGGAAACATATTAAGCAATTGTAATTTATATATTAACTGAAACATGATTATTTTTTTGTAACATGAGAGACACAAGTACATCAACTGTTTTGGATTAACTGTAATCTTATTTGAGAATATTTATTAAGGGCCGTATCGTCAGTCGTCTTTATGGCCTCCTTGATTTTCATAGTCTTTCCTATCCTTCATAATAGCTGGGATATTTCTAGATTTCTACTATTCCGTTTCAGCGTCAGCGCTCTCGTATTGTCAGGCTATGTTTTCTGTTTGATTTGTAGGAAATTTCAGGCTATATAACAGATGATATAAATCAAAAGTATGAACAATTTGGTGCAAATAGATATTTGTAACATAACCTCAAAATAGAGCCTTGACACGGAAGAGTAGAAAACTATGGAAATCAAGGAGGCCATAAAGGCGTCCTACAATTATTGTAGGAGCTACTGACGATACGGTTTTTAGGCAAGTAAATGAGACAAATCTACAAGAATTTAAAATAAGAAAAACACAAAGATTCGTGACGTTTATTTCGTAATCAGTATATCATTTGATGCAGCTTTCGACCCGTCCGGCAAACTACTTGCTTCGTGCAGTGCCGATATGAGCATCAAACTATGGGACTTCCAGCAGTCCTACGAATGTGTGCGGACAATGTTGGGCCACGATCACAACGTGTCCAGCGTAGCCTTTATGCCCGCAGGTGATTTCGTCGTGTCGGCTAGCAGGGATAAGACTGTGAAAATGTGGGAAGTAGCCACTGGATACTGCGTCAAGACCTTCGTTGGACACAGAGATTGGGTGAGTTTTGATATACTATTAAATCATATCTACTTTACTATCTTGGTATTTTTCTTTCTGTATGGATTTCAATGTCTTAACTATTGATACAGAGTCTTCTACGATGATTTGAGAACTCATAGGGATATAGAAAACTACTATTGCTTTTTGAAATCTTCATGCAAGTATTGCATGAGATGTTTTTTTAAATGATAATTTAGTCATTTGACTTTGAAGAAACTCTTGAGATTCATGACCAGTTTTTACAAGGTGCTTATTTTTTCAGTCAAGTCAAGGGAAGTACTGTAGTCTTCAAAAAACTTCAAATTAAACAGCAATTATCAGATATAACGTACTAGGTATATTTTTTGTGGCATCTGTCGGGTAATCCTTGGCTCTCATACCCTATTTGTAGTCCATTTACTTCAGTTGGCCCAACTATTGAAATCTTAGTTTTTTTCTTATGAAACACAAATAATAAAAATGTAGCAAGGTGTTATAGGTTTAAAATATTAACAATGAATATTTTGATAATATATAGTAGAAAACACCAACTTTATCACTCCCTAATCAAATTTGCAGCTTAAAAATAACACATGTTGCAATTACAGCATATCAACCTATTTTCATTTCAATGCAAAATAAGTCTATAACGCATAGGTGGCTGTGAAAAATAAAAACCATGACAATTGTTTTTATTAATCACAGCTGTCAGAATATGTTTAAAATAGTTTTGGGTAGTTAAGGTTTTCAACATGGGTAGAGGAAAGGTTATTAGTGAGAAAATTCGGTTACTGATGATTAAATTATTTAATTCTGGGAAATCAAACTCAGAAATTGCAACTTTGATATAACGTAACTGGTTCAGTTAATATTAAGCCACGATATGTGAAAAAAAGTAATATCACAAATGCCGACCGAAGAGCATTAAGAAGAATAATCGTGAAAAACAGGCGTGCCAATTATTTACAATTAAGCGCTCTGTGGAGTGACGCTGTTGGAAGGAGAATCTCGAGGTCCACAACTCATAGAAAGGCACACAAACTGGGATTTAGCACTTGCAAGGTAAGTTTTCTTATAAAAAAAAAGTGAAGCAAAAACCCTAAAGTTGCACAACTTGTTTATAGGCCAAAGAAAAGCCACTCTTAACTCCACTGCGAAAGAAAAATCGGCTTAGATGGGCTAAAGAACATAGACAATGGACACCTCAACAATGGTGTGCAATACAATGGAGTGATGAGGCCCGATTCGAAGTTTGTGTTGGTGACAGTCGCAGTAGAGTTATTCGCAAAAAAATGAAGCATTCCATGTTGACTGTCTGAAGAGAAAAGTGAAATTTCCAGCATCCATTATGGTCTGGGGCAGTATGTCATCAAAACGAGTAGGAAAACTTCATTTTATTGATGGAAATATTTAGTAATTATATAATATATTTGGTAATTTTAGAAGAATCGCTTTCACCAGTGATGGAAGAATGTTTGACATCCGGCCAAGATTTTGTGTTTCAGCAAGATGGTGCAGGGTGCCATACCTCAAAAAAGGCTATAACATGGATGGAAGAAAATAATGTACCACTTTTGAAATGGGTGTCTAGCGGTCCAGATCTGTCAGCTATTGAAACTTTGTGGCACGAGATGAAAAATGTTCTACGACAACATCCTGCTCGTACAATCACCGAACTGAGACAAAAGCTTCAAGAAATATGGGATTGTTTTACACCAAGTTTTTGCCAAAACTTGGTTAACACTATGCCCCAAATAATTTCAGCCGTAATAAAAAATAAAGGTGATGTTACCCAATGGTAATCTTTCAATTGTTGCTTTGTTAACTTTATTCGCACATTGTTTATTTGTTCAGATGTTCTATTAGATATAGGTCTAAGTGATTTCAAATATGTATTTTTTACGACTGGAGTGTATCTAAAATGTTTTTGAGAAAATAAATTGTTTTAGAAGTAAATAGTTTCGTCATGTTTAGTTTATAAAGGCATATTTTGGTACAAATCTTGAAGTGGGCCAACTGAAGTGGGAAGGGACTCATAGTTGGCCAATATCTCCATTACTATGAAAGATAATCATAAAAGTTATTTACAAAAATTGTGGATAACTATACATTTCCTACTTAAAATATACCGCCCTCTACAGGGTGATTCATAACGACATAACAGGAACATTTTTACTATAATCTTATATGCCACTTAAAAAGATATAGCTGGGAATATAGCACTTTATACTAATGCTTGCTATTTATTCGTTGTTTTTCCACTGTTACTTGAAATTTTGTCATATAGCTAAAAAAAGTTTTATAGAATATGTAGAAGAATATTTACCTAGTTTCTTCTAGAGTGATTTAAAAATAAATTCCATATTTTCACCATTGTCATCTTCGAAACGGTTGGTGGCAATTATATACTTTAGAAAACTCATTTGAAAAGTTTGGACGCTTCGAGTATCTCCAGGAATACACGGAAGAGGAAACAATTTTTCCAAAATCGTGTCTAATTTTTTCTGAATTTATTTGACGTAGGATTGCAAAATAAACTGGATATTAACATCTTCACTTTTTGACCTCTACAAGGTAGCATAAATAGAATATTAATATGATTTTTTCGTCCCAATTTAGATTTTTTTATGAATGCCTTTTTTGGATTGGCGAATAGTTTTGAATTCAATTGAATTTTAAATATTATAGCATGCCATCATCTCGACGTCAACCCCATTTCGACACCATTTATTTTAGTGTTAAACATTCAGACTACTACAAACGATTTGAATCTTCACGTTTTTGGTTATGATTGAGTAAAGTTTGGCGTGGTCGAGTGATTGTGAATGGGAATCTAAAAGTGCCGTGCCGCGCGGAGGCATCGACAAGAGACCGCTTCCGGATATCAAGCCTCCTCGAAGAACAGCACGTTTACTCGGCGCCTTGATATTGATCCACAGCATTATACATTATTCCAACACCTATCATTAACAACATTCGCAAGTGAACTTTCTGGTTCTGGTCTTAATGCGTCTAAGTGTAGTGTAGTCAGCTTCTCCAGGAAAACTTCTGTTTGTAAATTTAATTATAAGATTGGGGATGTTTACATAAATCGTTATAACTCAATTAAGGATTTTTGAACATAAACTTAATTTTTCACCCCACATAGCTCAAAAGGTGAGTGAAGCTTCGCGGTCTTACGGTTTTATTGTGAGAAACTGCAGACGCTTCAGCCACCCAGAGTCACTGTTGGTTTTGTATTTTGCATATATTGATGCTACGTTGATTCTCTTGAGCATGTTTAGAGAAAGTTTCTAAAATTTTTATCTTTCAAAGTTGATGGTGCATATACTGAGCGTAGTATATCTGAAAGCTTGTTATTGTCCAGGTTTCAAATGCAGTGTTTAGCGCTGAGAAGGAAGTATGCTTCAATTATGCTGTTGCATCAACTACTGTACAGTCAAATTGATGCTAATGGGATTGTGGCTCAACTAAACTTTAATGTTCCATCTATTCAAACTCGTACCGCTAAAACCTTTTATTGTGACAGGGCTCGCACAAATTTATTTTTGAAAGCACCCATATATGTAATGTGTGAAACTTTCAATGTCATATCAAACTATTGTGATATACATGCTGACAGTTTGAACAGCATTCTGGGATTAGCTAGGAATTGTTCAAATAATTCATTATTTGTTTTTCACTTGAGTTAAATATGTTTTTTTTTTGTTTGTTTGTTTTTTCTTTAAATGATGTCACCTTCTCTTTGTATGTTTTCCATTTTTGTTAATTTGATTTATCTTATAATTGTCCTGTAAATGGTTTTCTTTACTGTTGGGCAATAAACGCTATTTATTTATATGTTACTTAACTATAACCAGGAAGTCACCTTGCAATTAATTTACCATAATTCCATCATATGTTTATATTGCAATTCTGCATCTGCGGTTCTTAAATATCGTGTTCCGTGCGCTCGGCGTCTGTGTCTTGTATCATACCCTCATACCTTCGTACATGCCATACACGATAGACCTTTTCTTATGAATACAATTTTATGACATATTCGAAATTTGAATAAAACCTTCGTTAAGTAAGGTAAGGTTTTTCAAACATTGCTTGTACAAATGCTTAGTAGCAGACTACAGACGGGATTATAGAAATGGTTGTAAAAAAGGTGGTCAATGCAATGTCTAATCAACTCTACATAGGTCAAAAACCTCAAAAATCCGCTAAAATTTAAGTTTGTAAATATATGTTAAATATCGGGGAGAATATGGAGAAAGAGAACATCAAAAGGAGAGCTCAAAATTTCTCAAAAGGTTAAGAAATGGTGTTTGCATCATTGGTCATTTAAACAAAAGCATAATAGAGGTTACAAAAAATTGCACAGTTTCCTGAAAAGAGAAACATTCTGTTTCTACAGTCCTTTTATAGTATGCCGAAATCAAGCAAGGAAATCGAGGACGTCAAAGTAATTCGGCCGATGGTGGATTATTTTTAGCCTTCTTGCCTCTGCGTCTCTGCTATGCGCATTTACGGCATAATCCATAAACATGTTCCATCTTTAATTTATATTTATCCATAAATTGATATGAATTTGTGAATAAACGACCGGTATTGTTATTTAACTACAGCGTTTCTAGTTAACGCATAGATGGTCTGCTAGTTAAAGTTAACCGCCGTTTTACTATAGACATGATATTGAAAAATGCTTTTTCATGGATAACTATAAGTTAAGACCAAGATCGTAGTTAACCTGCAACTGAAAAACCAGGTCTTAGCGTCTGTATAACATCAAAAATGCGACCTTTATCCCGCGTTCAAAACGCATTTAGGTGTCATGTGTCTAATGTGCTTGTTATTTTAGGTACGCATGGTGCGATCGTCCAGCGACGGCACCCTTCTAGCCACGTGCAGCAACGATCAATCGGTACGCGTGTGGACAGTGGCGACGAAAGAATGCCGCGTAGAGTTGCGCGCGCACGATCACGTAGTGGAGTGCGTGGCTTGGGCGCCAGAAGCCGCGGCCGCACCCATCAACGAGGCAGCCGGTGCTGATAACAGGAAGGGCGCACATCGGGGACCCTTCCTTGCAAGCGGCAGTAGGGATAAGACCATTAGGTGAGCCACTCTCCTTCCTTCCCAACTGGCATTCTGTTAAAATGGGCTACTACCCAAGAAAAAGTTACCTATATTTGTAAAATTTTAGTAATGATGTCCTCAAAAGATAATTGTCTTGAAAGTTGAATCCTTTGTCAAAAATTGGGAACTAAATATATAATACAGCTAAAACCAAGAGGTTAAATTGGTTGGTTAAAAAGTACAAAAAAAAGCACAGACGGATTTACACGCTACGTCTTATTGTACGTTTTGTGGGACAGGACAAATCCTATCCAATAAAACGGGGCATGTAAACAGCAAAACGTCAGATTGAAAAACTGATGGGAGAAGCATCATTTTGCGAGAACTGATAGGACAAAACGAAACGTGTAGACTCATGTTCAGACAAGACGTCCGATCTTGGCTTAGTTCACGAGTAGCTCCACTTCAGTTCGCTTCTTTTTTCCCAAGCCTAATACTGTCAGACTTGCCTCAATGCACTCACGATTTTCTCGAGAAATTCATTGAAATGTATAAAAGTTTTCCGTGTTTGTGGCAAGTGAAAAATAAAGATGATAGTGACCGTAATAAAAAAAAACGTCGCGCATTAGGATCTTCTTAAAAAGAGATCGGCTTACAAAAAAGAGTTGAAAAAAAGTGAGGGCATCAGAAATCTCTGTTACTAACTCTAGCAATTGACAATAAGCTGAGGTGTCCATTCGCAAATAATTGCGCTAGTCATCAGGTTCGCTCCTCAGTTGTTTCAATAACGAGACGAAGGAATACTGGCTTCTTTTTAGAAGCCAATCCCTTGACCATCTTGTCGTTTCCCTCTTCATCTCTTTTCCTCTCAGTTGGTGTATCCTTATAGTTGAAAAAATGATGAAAAAGCAGCCGTGTTTCCTCCATAATAAAAGTATCTCAAAAAAATTCATTAAACAAACTTCACACAACTCAACAGTCTAGATTGGAACTGCAGTAGAAAGCGGAAGGGAAAACTCGTAGTGTGTCTACACTGGAGAAAACGTAGGTTTTGTCGCACGTTTTGTATGCCCGAGAAAACGTACAATAAGACGTAGCGTATAAACCCGTCTTAACAAGTACTTGAATAATAATTCTTAACATGGAACATAAATCCAAATATTATAAAGTACCTAATATTAACCTAAAATACGCCATTAATGTGTTCTTCTTTGGGCATATTGGTAAGTTACCTGAATGCACTCAATTTTATGTGATCTCAGCACGAGCCATAAAACAGTTATCAAAATAACTTTACGAGGGCGGCCCGATAAGTACTTATCCTCACCGTCCGACGGTGGACTTCAGCGGGTGAACGTGTTCCGAAGAAGGCGAAGACTGTCTGTTGGAAAGATGGTGGTCTTCATTTTCTGGGATTCGCAAGGTGATTTCTGTATCGACTACCTGGAGAAGAGCAAAACGGTCTCAGGGCTCTACTCTGCCGAATTATTGGGCCCATTTGACGCAGAATTTGCAGAAAACGGCTTCATTTGGCGAAAGAAGTGCTTCTCCACCATTACAACTCACCGGATCGCACCTTCGCCGTCGCCATGGCCAAATTGGTCGAATTGAGCTACAAACTGCAGCCCCATCTATTGTGTTCTCCAGATTCGGCCCCGTGCGACTTCTTTTTGTTCCAAACTTGAAAAATTCACTCGCCGGTCAGAAATTTGAGTCGAATGAGGAGGCTATTTCTCAGACAGTTTAAAGCAGTTGGAGCATAGCTGGGTCAAGTGTATCGAGCTAAAAGGGGACTATGTTGGGAAATAAATCGCCCTTTTTCCCAAATTTTCGTTTTTCTTTTGTAGGCTATGAAATTATCGGACCGCCATCATACTTAACCATAAACGACAGTGATTGCAGTATATTAAAATGAAGAAATAAATGTTATACTTACAGATGAAGGTGTGCGCTTATTTTGTAGAAATCTGCGGCTTTCTGAATATCCATATTTAGTAACGAATCCTGGACTACCGTCATGGTATAAATATTATTATTGAATTATTGGATTTCATTCCTCAGCTTCCTTTCCGAAGCACATGATAAAAACAAGTTTTTTGGCCTCTTTGATAATAATCACATATGAATTTGCAGGATATGGGATGTAGGTGCAGGAGTGGCACTTTTCGTACTGGTAGGACACGACAACTGGGTGCGAGGACTGGCTTTTCATCCTGGTGGTAAATTCTTGGTATCGGCCAGCGACGACAAGACGCTGCGCGTCTGGGACTTGCGTAACAAGCGTTGCATGAAGGTATTGGACGCGCACAAGCACTTCTGCACTTCAGTAGGTCAGTATGGAATAAGATTTATCATATTAATATACAGGGTCCGGCACTGAAACTTTCTTTTTTCAATGATACAAGGTGGCGCGACTGGAGCTAGTTGCAGCGCGTAAGCGCGCTTAGCAGAGAGAGTTGGTGGGGAGGTTTGCTTGTTAATCGTCGTCAGTCGTAAAAATGCTTTGGGCGAGAGAGCAACGCGCGTTCGCCGTTGAGACCTACTTTTCGCAAGGCCGGTCGATCATCGCGGTGCAGCGTGCGTTCCGTTTACGGTACAATATTCCCCCTAGAGGTGCTGTTCCGGCCCGGGGATCCATTTTATCATGGGTGGAGGCTTTTAGAGCAGTTGGAAATGTGTCCCGCAAGAGACCAGGAGCAACACGGACAGTTAGAACACCCGCAAATATCGAGGCAGTCCGACAGGCGGTTTTGCGATCTCCTAGACGATCTTCTTCGAAACGTGCCGCTGTCCTGAGGTTATCGGACCGCTCAACTCGCCGAATTCTTCACGACGATCTTCACTTTCATCCATACAAAATGGTAGTCGCCCAACAACTTTCCGAGTCTGATTTTGTTTCACGACAAAGGGCATGCGAAACGATTGTTGATGATTTGCCTCCGGACGCGGTTGTCTTTTTCAGTGATGAGGCACACTTTCACATCACAGGTTGTGTTAACAAACAAAATATGCGCTACTGGAGCGGCAATAATCCCAGAGAAATTCATGAAAGGCCTCTTCATGCGGATAAAGTCACAGTTTGGGCTGCGATATCAAGAGTGGGGATCATTGGGCCATATTTTTTGGAGGAAGATAATCGCACAGTTACTGTAAACTCTAAGCGTTATGTGGCAATGATTAACAATTTCTTCCTGCCAGCTCTTGAAAATATGGCCTTAGGCGATGTATGGTTCCAGCAAGATGGGGCCACAGCCCATACATCACGACTTTCAATGCCTGTTTTGAGACAAAATTTTCCAGGGCGACTTATCTCCAACCGAGGTGACATTCCATGGCCCGCACGCTCGTCAGATCTAGCTCCATGTGATTATTTTCTATGGGGCTACCTCAAATCAAAAGTGTATAACAACCGTCCTGCAACCCTGGAAGAATTGAAAAACAATATTCGTTACGAGATGGCCAACATACCGAATAATATGCTGGAAAGGGTCCACGCACACTTCAGATATCGGTTACAGCAATGTATCGACAGTAATGGTAGACCCTTGTCAAATATTCTGTTTAAAACAACTTGATTTCAAACTTCCCATATTACTGTCTAATGCTAATACAAAAATGAATAAAAATGTGCAATATATATTTTTATTTTTTACCTATGAAAAAAGAAAGTTTCAATGCTGGACCCTGTAGAACCATTATATTGCCTGTTACCAGTGTGTCCCAGAATAAGGACCACCGCAGACTGCAGACCTTCTATCGGCCGATAGTTTGGTTGGCTTCTTAATCAGTATGAAGAGGTCCCTTCAAACTTATCTGTCGGCCGACTGTTTAATCAGTGTCGGCTAACTTCCACGTGCGCACACACGACGATTGTTTAGTCTTCCGAGAGTTCAGTTCGCTCCGAGTTTCGGCGTCGGACAGTCGTGTTTTTCTGGTAATCAAGTAATTTGGAATGGATTGTGTGAAGTTTTTCAATAACTGATCTCGCTGAGAATGGGATGCACCCAATACTGTCTGAATCTCTTCTTGATTTTTCTTCTTGTATGAGCAATATTGTATTTAGCAGCCCAATCCGACTAAACTACCGGCCGATAGAAAGTATTCAGTCTGTGTAGATGGCAATTTCTTGGATGCATGTAGAACAAGAGAATAATGACACAAGTTCCTAAGGAAATACGAACTCGTATAGGATCCTACTGTACGTCGTACAATTCAACCAAATTTTGGTAGTATAGAAAACAATGGGGCATGATGATGGATCATGTACCCTCTTAGTAACTTTCACCCCCTATTTCAAAAACTTCCAAGTTTTATTTTCGCAGCAAAATGTCCGTCTCCCAGGTCTAATCTAAATGTATGGTAAAAATCATCAAAATTGTTTCAGCTGTTTTGATGTGAAAACGGACCATACAAACATATGTCGTGTGTGGTAGATGGTCTCTGACTGTCGAACGCGGAGGTACCACCCGGCGGTTCTCGTAGGCGGAGCCAGAATGTGTGCATGTTGCATGCACACGTGTTCCCTCGCCAGAGTCCGTGTGGCGTCCCCCCTTTCCCATGTATCCCCCATAGCCCCACGGTACCCAATGGGTGCTTAGGCCTTAGGCCTTCGTGGTAGTTGGAGTATATAAAAAAAAAAAATACATACACACTTTTACATTTATAAGAAGGGATTAGACCTTGGTGACGGACATAGGCTTCCTTTTGTTGTGGAAATTAGACTTGAAGGGGATGAAGATAAGGGGTAAAAACTACAATGGGGAACTATAATTTTGTAAAGCTAGGTTTCATATGCTCAGTTCTTTGATACAGTGATGGGCACTTACAAAGACACAAAACCTATTTGACATATGAACATGAAATTTGGTATGGAGGTAGTTTATGGACAGGACATGTCAGTTAGGAACGAATTTCACAACAGGGTCGGATTAAGATAGCTAAAGGCAAATATATCTAAAAGCGGAAAGATACACAGTAATCACGAAATTTTGGAAACTAACCTATGAACATGATATTTGGTAGAGAGGTAGTTTATGGTCAGGACATTTCAGCTGAGAACAGATTTTGTGGCAGTGCCAGATTAAGGGATTAAAGGACACTTGCAAGTTTGTTTGAAATTGCTTGGAGCTTTCTGACATCTGGAAATTAGCAACGACGGGCTTCAGTTTACAGTAGTCTACTACTTAGTGAACTAAGAATGGATTGTGAAACTGGAAATCTATCAGAGAGGAATGTAAAATTTAGTTTAATTTAAAATGCTAATTTCAAAAAATTGGTAATATTATTAATTTCTTAGCTTTGCGGGCCGTGCAAGTTGACTGTTAGTTTACTATGCAATTCGCCTATAACAATACTGAAAAGCAATGCTATATATCACTAATAATTTAATACGTACGAAGTCGCGGGTAACAGCTCATAAAACATTCAGAAAATATATCATCTTCGAAAATGTTCGCGTTTAGTCGTCACTAGATCGATTTCCAGAGTATAAACTTTTTTTCGTCCTTGACGTAGTAGTAGTTTTGTTTCAGAATTTAGGAGCCAATGATTAGCGGCCATACAGACAGACCGACGATAATGAATGACATGTGTTTTTTGTGATGTACATTTCATGTAACATCTTTTTTCATTTTATTGGCGTGAGAAGTAAAACAACGATGGCGTTTAATGCTAAAGATGTTGCGCTTACTTGGCGTCTTACGAGTATTGCAATTTCATATTTTATTTCTTATTTCAGATTTCCACAAATCACACCCGTACGTCATATCCGGCGGGGTGGATCAGACAGTGAAGGTATGGGAATGTCGTTAAGCTGATATAGCGGTCAGGCTCAAACCACGCGGGTGGAGCGCTTTCTGAGTGCGTTCCTGATTCAGTTATCGGCGAAGGACCTTTGTGTCGCGTACTTGCGTTGTTCTGATGTGCATAGTCTTATTATAAGTTCAAACGTAACCTGGTTTTGTGTGCGGTACCTGGCGCCAAGGCTACATTATGACATTTAGGTTTACTGTGTATTATATTTTTTGAAGACCTCTCATTCCGCAGTTTTGACTTACAAATTTCGTTATTCTAATAGCGTATTTTGTTTAGTTGAAAATTTCTCTTTTAACCAGGTATATTCATCGTTCCAGTTTTTTGCACAGATCATTTGAAGGTGTATTATTTAACGATTTATTTAAGAAATAACTTATATTTTTGTTGGTTTTTTCATCTAACAGCACCCTAGGAACATCACAATACATTCTTGATATTTTTATATGATACTAGAAGGAACATTTAGATGCTGAGTCAAAGTATCTTTCGCAAGCTTATGTGATATTATTTCAGTGAAATTCTTAGGGTGTTTTAATTAAATTGTAGAAGATATATATTCGTATATGTAGAAGACCGTGATACGCAAAATTCAGAAGCCTAAACGCTGAACAAAATGGAAAAAACCCTCTTGAAAACCTTTAATGTTACTTCATAGTTCAGTTCTTCTTTTTGATAAATACATCATCCAGCACACAACCGTATTTCTCAAAATTTTAAGTGCAGAACAGCTTATCTTGAACATTTCCAAAATTGATGAAGAAAAATCTATGATTTCGCTTTCAATAACTAATTAAATTATGTAATAACAATAAGTGCTATTCGCATTGTATTATGCTACGCGCCAGTTTTTGAAATAATATCTTCCTAAAAAGTATATTTCCGAGTGAAAAAATGCTGGGATACCAATACGCATTTCCTCAATAAAGACCCAAATAAAAAGTTACGCGCGATCACAATTGTTGAAAACATGAATATTCGCGCAAGAGATAGATGCTTTCTGTGAAAACAGGGTCTAATATTACATTGATATTTGATATATGATTTTTATTTTTTTACCAAGTTGTCGTTTTAATGAAACGCGTCATTCCATTTACCACTTGCATCGTTGACTATGATAAACATTTAGAATTTGATGAATATACTGGTCATAACCTTTAGAAACGATTTTATCAAGGAAAAATATGTTATACCACAATGTTTCATTATAAAGAATTTTTTGTTTTGATTCAATCTGGGACGATGGGTTGCTATAATGTAATCAAATTCCAGCTACGCCCCCGTCAAAGCAAACATGAGCGTTCGATCGTGGCTACGTTTCGCTTGGCGCTGCTACGTCCAGGCATTTATGACCCGCTGGAGCGCACGAATTTGAACGTCGTGCGTTGTCGTTTGTTTTGACACGATGCAAATGGGATTTTAATACATTTTAGAGGGATCGATATGGAAACGTTTACCTAGTTATGTCCACCACCATGACATTTAGTTGTCATGATTCACATCCGAAAAAAAGGTAATTGAACACATGGCAGAAATATAAATATTCCCAGATAGCCTTTTCTGTACTGTGAATGAACCACGCGGCTTTTCTGTGCGCTACTTTATAGAAAGAATTCAGGCAAGAATATTATTAGCTATAAGAGAATATTGCTGGAATTAGTCTGATTTTACGTAGTGTTGTTAAAATCGTAGAGTTACTTTTCTCAAATAATTTAATCAATTAGTACTAATGTTTCTCAAAATAGAATGTACTTGCACGGCTAAAGCTTGATAAATGCGCTATTTCTTTGAAGATATAAAATTTAAATTATTCGTTGTGTATCATAATATCATTGATCACATTTTTTTTTTTGAAAAAATATGTATCGTTTTCTATACTTTAATCTTTGACATAGTCCTAATGCATTACATTTTAAAAAATGTATTTCTGTATATTTGGCTTCTAACGATGGGTTTTTGTTGCGCCAATTTGCTTTATGAAAATACTACTACTGTACTTGCACAATTTACTCAATATATAATCCTTTACATACTTGCATAAAATGTATTGTTTTTAGCGAAGCATTGTGAATAAATTAAATTGTCTGTATATAATTCAGAATAAATTCCCTTATTGTAATGATGATTTTTGTATGGACACAAATACCATATGGGAACAGTCCGGTGTAGGTAGGTTGAAGCACATATCCCTAGTGTCAAGAATTTGTCAAGAGCATACCAAGGTCAAAATGGATGAAGGCGCACCTTCAAAAAAATTTTTGGTGGAAGTTCCACAAACCATATCTACAAAACTGAGCTTGATATTTTTCTTTTTATTTGCGTTTCATTTATATAGAGTCTTTCACGACGATTTGACAATTCATATGGATCTGGAAAACTACCGATAACTTTTTTGAAATATTAAAGCAAATATTGCTCGGGACGCTTTTTTATACCTGAAAGCAAGTAATGTAATCACGAAAAAAGTTCAAATGGAAGGATAATTTTCAGATATAACATGGTACATTTTTGTAGCGTTCATCAAGGAATCCTTGGACCTCTATTACAGATTAATAAATATTTATAGTTTTTGAAAATCACCCTGATGCGATAGAGTAACCGTCAAAAAAAAACTAATTTAATCATTGGCCCTTCTATAACTTGGAAAGTAACCCTGGCCTGTCTACCAGTATTATGACAAAAAAATCTATAACTCCCCAAACTTGACTTTTTTTTCGTGTCTGATGATTTTGAACGCAATCAAAAATTTTCTTAGAAGAGACGAAATTTAGAAAGAAGTGGAACTTTGTTGATATATTTTAAGACGTAGTCAAGAGTTTATTTGAAGGATTCAAGATTGTGAAAGCAGGTAAAACTTGTTTTGCAAATTCTAATCATCCAGCCACTTTTGTATAACACCAAACACAGCACGAGCAAGACGATGTGTGCAATCCGAAAATATGTGGAGTGGAATCTGTGTTGAAAAATCGGGAAATTGCTGATGTAGAAACGTCGCCAAATGCGAACCCTGTAGTAAAACAAATTGGACAGAAGAATTTATAGATTCTTTAAAGTGAAAGCCCAGGCCCCTCATCTCGAAATAACAAATTTTAGGTAACTTTTTTATCAAATTATTGCAAAGGATCATCCATTTTTTGCCGAAAAGTGCCCAAGATTAAATTTGAAATGGTGACCAAAGTAGCCTTTGTAGTTATTAACATCGAGAAAAACCTTCACAGGCTATCCAGCGTCGTAACTGCTGCAACAAATTAGACATACAGGGTGATTTCTTGGTATCTACTTGGACAAGGTCTTCATTGATAGAAAAAGTTATTTAAAAAAAGTGGACTATACGCTTATTACTTCACATGTACCGCTCCCTGATTCATGCGAACATGACGACAAAAACGATTTTTTTCAATGGAACACCGTACATCTTTTAGTATATTCTAATATTCCATTTCAAATAGAGAAGCTTTGATATAGCCGGTGATATAGCGTATTGTACTAATTACGGAAATAATTTCTTTGTCGATATCTATTCGTTGTTTTTCTAAAATTACTTGAAATTTCGTTATACATATAGAAAAATAGTTTTATAGAATATGTAGAAGGATATGTAAAATATAAGAGACGCGGGTCGTTTGACTGGTGGCAAAGTTGCGTACTTATATATTTTAGAAAATGTATGGAAAAGTTTTGACGCTTCCAGTATCTCCAGAGATACACGGAAAAGTGAGCAAATTTCCCCAGTTTTTTCTGAAATAATTTGAGATAGGATTTCAAAATAAATTGACATTGACACTTTTTAATCTCTGCGAGGTGGCATACATTGAACATTAATATGATTTTTCTCTCTTATCCCCAGTTTCAACTTTGATTTTTCTCATGTATATCATTTTTACATAGGCGAATAGCTTTAATTCTGATTTCAAATATTATAATGCATGTTAATTATCATAAAAAAATTCTTGAGTAAGCCTTGAAATTATCATAATATGGTCATTTATTTCATAGAATATCAAAGTTGATATCATTTTATGCATTGATATAAAAGGTCCCAACTTCATATGGTTGGGTTAAATACATTAAATGAGGAGCGACATAATATAACTCATTTATGTATATTATTTAAGGGTAATCATGAAGACCTCGAAAACGGTATAATTTTAAAAAACTTAGAGCTATCACCAATTTCAGCAGAATATGTGTTGGATGACCTGCTGGATATTGTTATTCAGGTTTTACCTTTCAAGCTATGTTACATAAAGAAGTACCTACCGACATTATTGTCTGTCTCCCGTTACAAGGAGTCGGCAGGATTTTAACGGCCTATGACCCCTACATTCAATTCACCATTGAAAAAGAGGATAAAAGTCAATCTGTCCCATTTTTGGACTCGAGAATCATCCGTAACATTTTGTTGGTAGACCGGTACAGGAAACCAATATCCTCGGGAAGATTCCTAAATTTCAGGTCCTACCATAACAAAAATAAAGTTGAATTTGGTGAGTCAAATGAAACAATGGTAATTGGCATCTCTGACAATATTTTCTACATCTCGAATCTACGGAAACTCCTAACACTGTTCATGCACAATGGTTATCTAAGGTACTTGACTAACAGAATTCTGTTCAGCTCTCCGTCCAATATTATGCCAAATCAAAACAATAACAATAATTCCACCCCGTCCAACAATAATACAAATAATTCTCAAAACAATAACAATACCAATACACGATCAAATCGCAGAATTAATTTTGTAGTATTGCCATACATTCAAGATTTAACTCCACAATTGGCCAGACTATGTAGCACTTTAAATTGTCGTATTGCCTGTAAATCCGTCCTTACAATCAACAATGTATTTTCAAAAATGAAAGGAGTTCCGATGCTTAGTTTAACCAATACTGTACTCCATTAATTAATCAAATCCAAGCGAATAACCAAAATTTCCGTATTATGTACCGCGGTTATAATATGGTTCAAGATGACACACGGGATGATGACGTCAGTTACTCGAATCGCTTGAACGCGTTGGTTTTAACCGCGGTTTGTTGCAAGTTGTTTATTTTATAAAAGCGCGTATATAATTTCTGATTATTTTTATTATCATTTAATAATCGGTGCCTTTTCGTCTACAACGGGGTATGGAAAGTTGAAAAAAATAAAACTTTCATAATACTAATGGGACGAATGTTTTTTTTTCTCAGAAAAACATTTTTACTGATGGAACCATGGCTTTGTAGCTATGATAACTTTCAATTCTCTAAACTTTTCCGCATGTCAAAGAAAATATTTATTGACTTAGCAGAAATGATGAAAAAGCGATGAAAAAAGTTATTAACAAAACCGTATACAGGTGGACATCATCCAGTGAGTTTATACGGCCATATTTTAATATTCTTGTAGTATATGGCTATACAGGATACTTTGTTAAGCGTAGGAACTAGATTTAAAGTGTCCCCAACAACAGTAATGATTATAAATAATAAGGTGGTCTCTTATGCTAAAACTGAAGTCAGCCTGTATCAAGTTTCCCAAAAATGAAGCTGAAGTACAACAAAAATATCCAATACCCGGCAAAATTCTAACTTGTCACATGTCAAATAATAACCAGAAATATAAAAACTACTCCCGAGTTGGGTAAATGCCACAATTTTGCGGTGATAACTATGACATATAACAGCTGATTCATGACGTCACGGGTCTTATAACCAAACTGATAACCACACTCGCTTGAACGGATCGGTAAATACCAATCCAAAATGGTAAATACCATTTCCATTTGGTTATCCGCTTGAATTTGATTATTGTAATGGTTGCAATTTGATGATATATACCGGGTGCGCCGTCTTTTATGTCGGTGTCGGTATTGAAACATCGAATGACTTTGATATTTACCAACCGAGTGATTTGGTTATACGTGTTTCTGAAACGTCAATTTACTACATTTTTAGTTATGAATCGCTTTACACCGAAACATCGCGCCGAAATAGTACATTGAAAATCGTAGTTCAGTTGTGTTAACGCAACGTGCATATCGTCGAAAATATCGTGGCAGACAGGCACCGTCTGACAACACTATCCGTCGTTTTGTTTCGAATTTTCTTGAGTACGGGACAGTGAGAGATCGTCAACATACCGTTCACGAACGACCAAGACGTTCCAATGAATCGGTTGAAGCGGTGACAGACAGCGTTGCCCAGAACCCAAAAGTGTCGTATCGTCACCGCGCTCAGCATTTTGGTATCAGTGGAACCACGTTGCGGCGCATTTTGAAGAATGATTTGCATTTGTTTCCTTATAAGGTGCAGTTAACACAAAAAATATTGCCAACTGACCGTCCACGTCGCTTGGAATTCGCCCAAACAGTCGCTCGCATGGTTGATGCTGAACCTGATATTTGGAAGCAAATTGTGATGACCGACGAGGCCCATTTCACGCTGTCTGGCGGCGTTAATAAGCAAAACTGTCGCATTTGGGGGACGGAAAATCCACATGAGATCCACGAAATATCGTTGCATGACCGGAAAGTGACTGCTTGGGTCGGCGTTTGCGCCAAAACCATCATTGGGCCATTTTTCTTCAACGAAAACGAAACAGTCGATGGAAATCGATATCGGTAGATGTTGGCTCATTATGTCTGCCCCCAAATGCGTGAAAAAGGTCTTGATGGTTTCAACAAGACAGTGCGCCATGCCACACCAGGTCTCCAGATTTGACCCCACCGGACTTCTTCTTGTGGGGTTATTTGAAAAGTCAAGTATATGCCAGCAAGCCCCAGATCACTGAAGAACTCAGGGCAAACATTCTTACCGCAATCGCAGCTATACCACCAGAAATGCTCGAAAAAGTAATGGAAAAAGCAGCAAAATAGGCACATTTTGTTTTGGCCAGTAAAGGTGGCCACTTGATAGATGTTGTGTTAAAAAACTAGTCCCAATAAATTGTAAAGGACATATTTAATAAAAATACCCGATATATAGAAATCAGTTTTTCGTTTTCAAAGTTATTTCATGTTTACATACCGACATAAAAAAAGTAATCTAAAAATGAAGAATGAACTGACCCGTTCGGCAAGTAAATGTTGTAAATGGCCATCATGACTCTCCATGCAATAATAAAGATTTTGTTCAAAACGTTGCCGCACATTTTGCAATATTTGAGGAGTAATCTGAAGGCACTCATTCACAATTGT